CTCCCTCCCTCCCTCCCTCTCTCCCTCTCTCCACTCAGCCTCTTGGGTTCAACAGGTGAGAGTTATTGCCACCAAGCCTGACGACCTGAGTTTGATACTGGGAACTCATATAATAGGAGAGATCCAATTCCCTCAAGTTGTCCTCTAACTTCTACACATATGATTTGGCCTGTGCATGCACGCATACACATAGTGAGATAAATAGATAAAATGTGAAAAGAAAAATATTTGTCATTAATGTACATGGTTTTGAATCTGAAAAAAATTAAAAAATGACCCCAGGTTACTTGGGAAACAGTTCTCAAAATGAATTAAATGTGTAGGGAACCCCAAACTGCTCTTAAAATAAACATTGTCTTTAAGAAATCAACTAAGGAGCAGCCTTACTTTTCTCTGTGGAAAGAAGAAAGCTGTCTAGAGGCCAATCAGATGGTGAAGGACACTGGGAATGTCTCATAGATGGAAATTAAATTATGATGGACAGAAGTATGAGCCACTTGGGAACATCATAAGGGGACATGGTGTCTTTTGTTTATGGGCACTTCCCAGGGCTTGGACTTTTTTGTTATTGTTTCTGTTTCATTTTCGTTTCCCTTTTTGGAAAATACTCTCTGGTCAGAAAGGATGGTATGTACTACCATCCTCCTGAAATGGGGACATTCTCTAGCCCAGCAGCCATTACCTTTCTCATAAAAGCTGATCATTCAGTAAAACCAAGATGAGTAAGACTGGTTGTTTTAAATACTTTTACAACACCACTGTAAACCATTTTTATAAAGCCTTTTTTAACTTTTGCTTTTGTATCAAATGTGTATTAGCAGATTAGGTAGGTGTTCAAGGATATGTATTTTCAAAATAAACTTAAAGTAACATTTACAGATGTCTAATAAGAAAAATCTAATGATTTAGTCTTTATTTAACTGAACTGATAGATCGCTTTAAAGTTCTCCACCAAGACAGTTTATCATTGCCAAGCGACCCTTATCCTTTCAACAGATACTAGTTGGATGGTACCCAGAACCATATTAACTATTAGCCCTACTGATAACTCACTTCAGCTTTCTTAGTGGTGAAAAGACTACACAAAGAAAATTAATCCAGTTGAGTACTTTGTCCTCAAGCATGTAAAAATTTGAACCGCACTGGAACTAATTATTCTAGTAATTACTTACTCTCTGGTTTTCTAGCACATTCTAGGATGGCCAGCAACTCCTCTCATTATCTCCACAATGTTCTAGGTTGGTTGGTTTTGATTAGTAATGTATACTTTCTATTTTGAGGGTGAGCCTGGATCACCTGGAGCGGCAGGGCAAAGTGGACTCCCGGGACCAAAGGTTGGTACAGATAAAGCCAAGCACAGTCATCCACTGCATGGTTTCTACACAGTTTTAAGCTGTCAGGATTTGTTAAGCTATTTTCTGGTTGTAGTTGGGTAGACGTTTTTGTCAGTGGTATAATACTCAGTCATAGAACTTTGTAACTAATGACTACATTATGCTTACAATTGTCATTAACATTAGACATGCAGAAAAGAAATAGGATGTGACTGTCTAAAATGTTTCTTGTGGGGCTGGGGAGATGGCTAAGCAGTTAAGAGCACCTGGTGCTCGGGTTCAAATCTTGGTACTCACAGCTCATGACCCTCTGTAAGTAATTCCAGTCCCAGAGGACCCAATGCCCTCTTCTAGCCTCCAAGGATACCAGGCTCACAAAGTACACAGATATACATGTAAGAAAAACACCTATAATTTTAAAAATATATATATTTCTTGTGGGGTAATCAAATAGCATAAGAAAGCTCTCAAAATGACCACTGTCATTTTACCCCTTAATAAGTTGTGAAAACATAGGTCATGTTCATACTGCCCCAACTGTACATATTAGCAAGCCCCACTACAGATGATGTTCCCAGAGCCATGACGGCTTTTCCTCAAGGTTTGGCCACCTTCAGTTTCTATACAACATGACTAGTTAGTCAGACAAAGAACAGAAGAAAGATGTGGTATGTTTAGAATTTAAAAATGGATATAGTTTGAATTACTAAATAGGGAAAAAATGTAATGAGGATTTTTTTTTTTGGATTGCCTGTTTTCTTGGTTTCTTGAAGAACAAATGAATCTGTTAAATCAAAAAAGATTGGTGACAGTTCAGTTTAAACCAAGCAGGCAGACAAATCCCAAATCCTTTGATGAGTGAACACCCCTTGAAGTACAAAACTCATGTGTAATCCCATCAGCTGTGCTGGGGTGAGTCTGAACCCACAGATGTCTGTCAACTGATTTTACATGCCATGCTGCTATTTAGGTACTGGGGACAGGCCTAAAATGCGTGGACCTGCCCCTTTTTGTCCTGGAGAAGAAAGATAATATTCCTTCCGGGAATCCAGCCCTCTCCTGTCTTCTCCCCTTTCTTGCACTTTACTAAGAAGCCCGATGGTGGGAGTTAATTCTTGATGAGTACTCACAGTACTGTTCCTGTGCTGGCTGGCGATGCAGCCACCAGGACGGATGCTGAGTGGTGAAGGTCACCAGAAAAGCAGAAAGCCAGGGGGTCAGGTTGATTTCCAGAGAATGAAAAGAACTTTGTCTCCAAACTGACTTCTAGCTTGGGTTCTTTTACTTTGGCTTTCTTTTTCTCCACAATAATCTCCTTAAGACATTTTAAGCAGTCTGGTCTCATGGCAATGCTTACTCAAGCTCCCCATCAGGAAATTTCATCATAAGATGTATGTACTTTAAAACATCTATTGTCCCCTGCCCTGTCCTAGAGAAAGTGGAAAATGCAGTTCTCTTCAGAGAGCAGTTTCCTATTTCAAGCCCTGGTTTTCTTGGTCATCATTTCTAGGAGGAACCTCCCTCACTAAGGCTGCTCCATTCTGGTATCTTGGTTACAGAACTGATGATCTTGTCGAGGGGTGGCAGTGCTGCATTGAGGGTTTATGATCATATCCACAATTGCAGAGCTGTACCAGGGTCAGCCCTGAAATACCCATGCATCAGGACATGCTTCAAGACAGCTTTATGGAAGGACATGCTAACCCACCATATTGATTTTGAGTTTGCCACACTGTGTTCCCCCTTAGTGTCCCAGTCCACTCCTGGGTGACCTTATCTACTGCACATATTATTATCCTTATAGAAGTAAGGACTTAAGATTAAAGTTGGTATTGGTATCTGGACCCAATTCCTCTGGATATTTTTGCAACTTGTTTTCATGTAGAAACTAAGGCCAAAATAGACAATGCACTTTATAATTCACCTAGTGCATTCAGCATGTGTTCAGTACCCGCTTTGTTTGCTCCTGCTCTATTAGCTCTTCATTAATGTCTCTCCATCTCTGTTTTGGTGCTCAGGGCGAGCCTGGAAAAGAAGGAGAAAAGGTAAGAATAGTTCTGCGTTGTTTATCACCCCCTTCTCCAGAGCTACACTCCAACTGAACTAGATGCGTGAGAGGATCGATGGTGGATAGACGCACAGATGGATGGACAGATAGAAGTAGAGATTGGGGAAGATTAATTTGCCCATCTTTCAGACTGTCAAGTAGGGAAAGAGAAAATATGGTTTTATCTTCCATATAATTTTTGAATTGGGGGTTGGAAGGAAGGAGAGAAGAGCAAACGCTGCCTGCCAGGCTCACGGTGGCTTTCAGCAACCCCTAGCCCTGTAAAAACCCATTCTGCACACTTGCTAATGTCATGCCGATGCCTTCCTAAGCATCCACAGCTGTCTCTGCTGCTGCTGGGGACTCTGGGTCAAAGGTCAAAGGGATACAGATGTTTACCTGCAGTGACTGTCTAAAAGTGACCCCACAAAGAATCCCCATCAAAACCAGAAAAGGGAACAGATGGAGAGTCGGGGTTGCGTGTTAATCCCCGTTAGATGCCTCCGGTATTCCTTGCAGGCCTGTCTTAATAGTTTTCAAACTCCTACTGTGTATGGCTCTGTTTATACCCCAGGTTCCCTCTGCTAACTGCAGTGGAGTTTGGGGGTGTCTCTGAGCGGAGCGCTATATACTAGGATATGCTGTGATAGTCTTTCTAACAAACATCGTAACTCTACTTGCAAAAGAAGCTCATCAAAAGATCAGGAAAACAGTCCTCAATTTAACTGTATTTTCCTGCCTTGTAAAGCAGAAAGAAGGCAATGTTAGATTGGAAGAACAGCAAAATAGGGGTTAAAAGGCCATTCATGAAGGGACAGTCAATCTCTTTACTTCACAGCTACTCTGAGCCCCGTTTCCCAATAAGGAGATCGGTGTTCTAAGGGAGTTTTCAAGCAGATTTTTAAAAAGCGTGTGAGTGAGCCATCTCTCAACACTGCCTTAGAGCATGTGCTCTAAAGCAGTCAGTTCAGGGTAATTAACTTGAAATTAATTAGTCGTCATATAACTGGTTCATGTAGAAATTGGGGAGAGAGGGGGAGCGATGCCAGTGCCCATCTCCGGTTCATCAGATGGGGTGCTGCCCTCCCGGCCCACTGTACAGCCCAGGCAGGTTAAGTTCGTGCTCATTTGAAATGGTCAAAGGAACTTTGGAAAGGAAAGTGAGTATCTCTCTTCTACCTTCTCATTCTTGAGAAACTGCACCTGGTGGTTTCTCTCTTCAATTCTGTGGAAGTGTTGAAATGATAGAAAAGTGACCTCCTCTGAGCTAGAGAGAAGAGCAGCCCAGCATAGGAACGCCACAAACACCAAGGCACTGGGGTCTCCGACAGCAAAGACTAATTTTCAGAGTGTGCTGTCATGGTTTGAAATGCTGTGTACGGTACAGAACTTAGTTCTTACAGCTGCGTAGTGTATCCTCATCCTCACGTGACCCAGGAAAAACGCAGTGCAAAGAGCATCGCTTTGCCTGCTGAGTGCCAGTGCTGGACTCCGTTCTCCTGAATCTGTAATCCTTGGCATTTCCTCTCTAGCATGCTCCAAGGCTTAAAGGAAAGCATTCAGAGTTTAGCAGAGCAAAGCGCAGAGATAAAACGAAACCTTTCCCCCTTGCGTTGCCTCGTGGGTAGGAAGGAGATGTCATTGGACAAGTAGAGAAGTAACCAAAGAAGCACACATTCCCCTGACTCAGTTTACTGTGATTTGGAAGAGACGATATCTAATAAAAATATAAAAATTCCTTTTTCTGAATGCTGCCTACAGAGCCTCAAGTAGATAAATACTCAGTCCATAGGCCTTGGGGGCTGTGGCATTCGCTTGGAAGCCCGGGAGCCTTTGATTGGTTTGAAGACAGGTAGAATTTATGCAGCTTGTAGGGAAAAGAGCCGGCTTGCACAGCATGAAGAGGGCCCAGAAGTAGCAAACAGAAGTGCCATGGCATGCTGTGGGGAGGGACAGGACAGCCCTGCTGTGGGGAACTTTAGCCAGAGGGAAAGAGAGTGCAGAAGGGAAGCTGGTGTCCACATCAACCATGGGAAGTCTGGCAGAGACATCACCGCTTTGTGTTAACCCTGCGCTGTGTGAAGGTGCTCGGCCGTGTTCATGTAATAAAGGTAATTGTATTGGCGTCAGCCGGCTGGCCAAGCTCGTGGGCTCTGTGAACATTTACAGTGGGTTGTAACAAGAGTGTGTCCAAAGGAGAGTGCAAGAGAGGATGCTCTTTGCTTCAAGTCACCAGTAGGTGTAAGTGTATCACTTTGTCCTCTTCTCAGGGAGATGCTGGAGAAAATGGCCCCAAAGGTGACGCAGGTGAAAAGGTACAGTCTTGTGAAATACGGAAGGCTGTGTGCATGAGCATGAATATCACTGAATGTGTCTGAAGCTGGGAGATGTGGAAGACAGCCTAGAGAAACCTCTCAAGTTAGAAAAACAGTTCAGTATTTGACTTCTAAAAAGTGATTATTCCACATCCTAGCCACAAATTTAAATATTCTGAAAGCAAAATGGCCTGCCAAAAATTAGAAAATAAGTAAATTTCCAACAATAGGTCTCTCAGGCAATAAACACACTTATTCATGTGGCAGTGTGTCTTCAGAGGCCTGCCCTAGATTTAGAAGGAAGTGTGTTGGTGAGTGAGGACGAAATTGAAAAGTTTAATCTTAAGTTACTAGCACTCGATTGCAGTGTTTAGGTCAGTAACATTGGGTACCATGGCCCTTGCATTCTGCCTTCCCCCTCCTTGGTCTTTGGAACACTGATGAGCGTTTACAGCACACGCCTCCCTGTTCTGTCTCTGTTCCTCTCTCTTGTCCCACCAGTCCGTCATTACAGTGTTTGCTTGGGTTTGTATTTTACATCCCAGACACCATGGCACTGTGACATCAAAAGGATGTTTTCCTTCATCCATGTGATGTGCTCAGATTTGGAAAGAAAACTTTTAGAAGCTGAATAGAGAATCAGAGCGGATGGATTTCAGTGCACACCAAGCGAAGTAACTGATGAATGGGAGGATTATTCACTTAGGCTCACAGTTGAGAGAGAGACCGTTCCATTTTGAAAATTATGACTCTACAGATGGATAATGGTTAGTCATAAAAACATGCTCATAAAATAAATAGAAGCTTATCTTTCTCCATCTCATAAATATTAATACAAATATGGCATGGAGGTAGGAACAAATTAATGTCACTAAGTAGCAACTGTTTGTATTTGAGAAACAGTTTGGATTTAGGGTTAATTCTCAGTGTCTTGAGGAACAGGGTGTCTGGGCCTCAGCACCATTGACAGTGTGAACTGAATGATTCTTCGCTGTGGAGCTGGCAGGCAATTCCATGCGCTGTGACCTACCCTCCCATCCCTACTTCAGAACCCCTGCAGTAGGCGCATCTCTTTATCTTCCAAATGTCAAGACCGAGCCGTCCTCAAGTACGGCATGCAAGTATTTAGTGCATGCTCCTGACTGCTCTCAGATCAGGATTTGAACCCCTAGCTGTGTGAACCCAGAGGATGATGGTCCATTTAGCTTTCATCTTTTTGTCTAAATGCAGAGATAAGCCAGCTTGTTCTATAGATTAATATTTTAGGCTTTGTGGGCCACATAGTGTCCAGCACAACTCCGTGGTTCTGTGATTACAGCAGCTACAGACAGCATGCCAAAGAACCGAGTGGGGCCGGGTTCAAAAGGGATTTTGTTTCTGGGCCGGGTGACTTGGAGATTATGTGATTTGTGTGTATTTTGTAATATTGTTGTTGTTTTGATTATTTTTTTAACCATTTAAAAGTATAAAAGTAGGCTGGGAGGTGGTAGCACACGCCTTTAATCCCAGCACTCGGGAGGCAGAGGCAGGCAGATCTCTGTGAGTTTGAAGTCAGCCTGATCTACAGAGCGAGATCCAGGACAGACAGGCTCCAAAGCCACACAGAGAAACCTTGTCTCAAATAAATAAGTAAGTAAATAAATAAATAAATAAGGCCATGCTTGGCCCAGTCTTGGAAGTATCCAGCAAGACTTAACTACAGTAGCCAACCTTTGCTTAAAACAAAGGAAATATTGTACACAGAAGGCAGCTTCTTCAAACAACAACACAATATATCAAATTTAAACTGCACCTATGTGAATTTTAATAGAGCGTTTTATGTCTTAGAGAGTGGATTTTTTTTTTTTAACTCCGTTTTTGGAACATAGGCCAGTAATGGTTTCTTTGCTCACACAGGTTTTGAAATTTAATTTTGTAACAGTAAAACAATGTTTTTCCTTGAAAGGACCCAAGTGTCTCAAAGGAATGTCGTTTTTGCTTTATTCATAATGCAAATCAGTTACCATACGGACTCACACATCATAAACTCTCAATAAATACTAACTTTTCCTACCATGTGGAAATTGAAATCAACGACATGGTTGTTTTTCTTTTCTTTTCTTTTTTTTATCAAAAAATTTTATTGCTCAGCTGAAATTAAGTACAAGAAATGCCTCAGTTAAAGCGGAAATCGTTTCTATAAACTTTCAATGGGTCTAAGCAGGGATTGTAAATAGCGATCTGTACTGTGTATACTATGTAATCTGACCCACAGCATTCATTCCGAGAATGTAGTAATTGGAATATCATTTTTGATGTGTTTTTTAAACATTTCCTGCTCCTGTCTTATAATTTGTTTCCAGCATGTCGGAAACACTCTTCTTGTGGCCTTTGTCTTCAGTATGTGAAACCCATTCATCACTTTCCAACTTCGAGGGGTAAAATAAAAAAAATTTTAAAGCCTTTTTTCTGCTATTGATGTAGTAAATTACGTCATTGACTGATTCACTTTAATGGATTTTTTTTCCTTTTGATCCAACTCAGTGCATTCGGATGGTAAAGCAATCTGAGGCTTTCCAGGCTGGTCATCTGGAAATGCTGGGAGCTATAAAACCACTGACTGGGCCAGGGCTTCTCTGTGGCCAGCAAAACAGTACACTCAGCTTAAGACTAACCTGCCAAAGACTGATTTCAATCACGTGTGAAGTTACTGTGGAAGCTTTGTATTCTAGTCTTTGGAGTGTTAATTCCACCAAACAATGTTGGAATCAATTTCTTATCCACTGCAAGTGGCTGCCTGTACAGCTCACTGAATGGTTGGACCACACTGCTATAGCCTATGTGGTGTTATCTGCCCAGTCAAGAGCTCCAGCTCCACTTATTGGCACGAGTTGCCTGTCCGCTACCTTCCTTTGCTCCCATGGCCTCTGTTCCTATCCATGCATTGCCTTCTGATTTAACATCTGGAGCTCAAGCATCTTGTCTTTCACAGGCATGTCCTCCTTGCCCTTACCAACCAATCTGGCTTAAAACCACACCTGGAGGGCTGTGTCCAAGGACACTCTAGAGCAGTCAGCACTGGTCCTCTCTAATCCTGCCCATGGCATCCTTTGTTTAGATACCTGCTCTCTCTTCCCCTTCCCAGTTCCTCTTCTCCATTTTCTAGCTTTGTTCAATATTCAATCCTTTGAACCTTGGATTCACAAGTCATTTCCTAGGGAAGCTCTTTAGTCTCTTAAACTTCTCAGGTCATCCCTGTATTCTTGAACAACACCCTGTAATTCTGTTCCTAATACATACTGTTCTTCACTGTCATTTCTTAATTAACGGGACACTGAGCTCACTAGAAAAGGAACAAACAACCCCAAACCCATAGGATACTGTCTAGTTTCATTTCTAGATCATGCAATAAAATCCTCTTACAAAAGTAAGAAAGACGGGGTTTCTTTGGTTCATAATTTGAAGTTAATAGTCCGTCATTGTAGGGAGGTGAAGGCGTGAAGCAGCTGGTCACATTCCCTGTGTGGTCAAGAGCAGAGAGCAGTGAATTAGTGTGGGCATGCTTGTACTAGTCCAAGGCCTAGCCCATGAACTAGTGCTACTCACGTTCAAGGTGGGGCACCCTACCTCAACCCAATTAAGAAAATCCTACCTAATGTAAACAATCCTCATAGAAGCTCCTTTCCCAGGTCATTCTAACCGGCCATCACAGCTCTACCCCGTGTCCATTTGACACCAAGCACATCACTTTCAAGCTATAATCTTCCATCCTTTGTCCCCAAAGTCAAACCAAAAACTGCACAGTGCCAATCTCTTCTAGTCCCGGTGCTAATCCAGGTTCCAGGACATTGTTATAAGATAGTAAATACTGTTTGGAGAACCTTTTTTTTTCTTTAATCTTAAACAACTTCATATTTTCATTGAATGGCACAAAGTTTCTATAGCGTGCATTTGCTTAGTCTGCCTTTATTAACATATGCGTATTTTATTACTTGCTGAGTACTGTGTTTGAAAACAACCACATACAAAACCAGTTCTTGACTGAAAGTGAAAAACAGTAAAGTCGCCAGATGTAGTGGCGCGCGCCTTCAATCCCAGCACTTGGGAGGCAGAGGCAAATGGATCTCTGTGAGTTCAAGGCCAGTCTGGTCTACAGAGTGAGACCCTGTCTAAAAAAAAACAATAAAACAGCAAAGTTAGATTTATTTACCTCACAGAACTTCTCCATCTGTGGCTTGGCCCACTGACCGATGAAGCTAGGCATGTAGACCTGCCACAGCTGGGGTCTGTTTCCTGCTTTAATCCTGTGTTCACCTGTACTTTGGGGGCAGGGTTATAAATATCCCCTGCTCCATTTCAGCTACTTGGAACATTGTCCTGTCCGGCAGTGGCCTTGCTCTTAAAAGTTATAGAAATTCCTGGAGACTTCACAGTTCTGCATCTTTTAAAAAGAGAATAAAGATATGACTATGAGTTGTCCATCAAATGAAGCCTCCCTGATTTCCACAAGTAAAGCAGCCTTTCACTGTTGGGCTTTCCTTCCCATCTACTTTCTCTGAGGACAAAGTCCAGTCTGTCTTCTCATGTAGGAGGTTAGCCAAACACTCTTGTATTCACTACACGTGGTTAATACAAGAACCACCTTTAATGTACACGTTTTTCTCTAGCCTTTAGGACCCATTGTCAAAACGATACAGTCCAGCAGTCCTTTTCTCAGTCGGATAAAAAGAGCAAACATGGAAGTACAGTTGGGGGAGCTTGAAGTTCACTTCACTGGAGCCCCTTCAGCTTCCTCATCACCAAGTGGAAGTGGCAAGGCCTTCCCTGCATGGGAGGCTAAGGTATAAACAAGGCAGACGGAGCGTCGTCGGAAAGTCAAGTTGTCTTTAGTACTACAAAGGTCGTGTTATCCAAAGTATTGCAAACTGGTTCATTAATGTTGAGGGCTCCCAGACTTAGTTTAGTAGAAATAGAAACAAGTATTATTTTCTTCACCGCATTTATTTCACCCCTCATTTGGAACTCATTTGAATGGGAATGGTTGACAAGGGAAGGCTCATTCATCCAAGAGTTTGCTTCCTTGTTTAGCCACATCTTAATTTTTCCTTGGGTAATGGCAATTACAGATGTCAAAGTCACGTGTGCACTTCTTTGCCCGACAAACTAAATTGACTATTTCCTTCTCTTTCCTAAGCTCGGGTTTCCCCCTTCCTAAAGGTCTCTCTTCGTTTTGATCCTTGACTGCTGACCCGACTAAAACATGGTCTTATAGACAGTCAGTCACTCACCACATGTGTGTTAAGCATATAATGTGGGTGCAGAGTCAGTTTCCTGCAGCTGTCTGTCTTCCAACAGGACAGGTGAATGTGCAGGCAATGCCCACAGCAACCACAACACAAGCTGTGCCCGACACAAACAAAGCATAAAGCTACAGTAGGTGTGCTCCTGGGGGGCCCCAGGGGGAGGTGAATTGGTGGACAGTTCCTTGAGGCAAAGCCATGTAAACCAAGACCTAAAGCAAGAGAAGCGCCATCCGTGGGAAGACGTGAGTGGAAATGAGGAAAGGGGCCATGTGCCAGTCAGTGCGCAGGGACCTGAGGCCTCTATCTGTGTGTCTGTCTCTAAAAGAGATTGACGAGCAGCTTCTGGACGTTAGAACAAGGGAACAGACCCCTGGAAATGCTTGAGTATTTGTACAGATGACAGAGCTTAGTGAACCTCAACTCTGGCCTCCCCCTTCAGTTTTCTTGGCAGTCTCAAATGTCCCCTCCTTTTCTATGTCTTTGCATGTTCCTGGAATGGAGAGGACTCGAGTGAGATTGAGAATCTAGGCCTTGTTTTTGTTTGTTTGTTTTTTGGTTTTTTGAGACAGGTTTGGAGCCTTTCCTGGAACTCGCTTTGTAGACCGGGCTGGCCTCGAACTCACAGAGATCCGCCTGGCTCTGCCTCCCAAGTGCTCGCATTAAAGGTGTGTGCCACCACCGCTGCCCGGTGAGAATCTAGGCCTTTTGCTTCCTCGTTTACAAATGAGTGACAGTCTTACCTCTTCTCCATGTTCCTGTCTGCACTGGTCCTATCCTTAGGATAGTGTGTTTCTGGGAGTGGAGTCATCCTCCATGAAATCTGGACAAACATGGTCTTGAAAAAGCCAGACTCCCCAAATAGCCATCTCTTCCCCACCTCTATGTCAGAACTAACATTCTGGGAATTGCAGATAAAAAACCTTTTGTAACCTGTTGACTTAGCAGACCACTGCCTTCCACCAACCCCGGAGCTAAGGATGTCATCAGATAGAACCCAAGGCCTTTAGAAAAGCTTCCCCCATCTGGCTGGAACCACCTCTCTGATGTACCCACCAATATATTTTAAACTTATCTTGACATATGACTTTCTTTGCTCTGTAAAACTATAAAGCTTCAGGAAACTGCTTCCATTTTGGAACATGAAATTTGGGGTACCCTAAATCTGTACTTCTGGACCATGGTCACTCAAAATGGCTCCAGAATAAACTATCTCTTGATCTTCTTGATCTCTTTAAAAAGTTAAAAGTCGGATTCTATCTGAAGACTTTTTTAGCCCCTCCGTGTATTCCCATTACCCACATGTCATTCATCATCCTGTGACCTGCCGGGGTTGAGTTATGGTACAGTGAGGGTAACACAGGAAAAGGCATGCTCATGCTTCATGATGGTGACAAACTGATGTGCAGCATGGCTTTTGCAAGGCAACATAACTAACCTTTGACTTCATCTGTTGAACCTTGACCTTCCAAAGACCAAGAAGGGCAGGAACTCCCTGTAAATAGCCAGTGACATTAATAAATCCCAGAAGCTAAGAAAACCAGAAGATTCAAATCCCTTAGTTACAATTCATTGCTTCAGAATATATATTTAGCATCTTATTAAGGGAATGGCTTCATGTTTGTATGTTCTTAGTTATTTCAAGAAATATAGTCTTTTCATGTTTTGTATTCAGAGTAAACCCATGATTTTAGGCAGGGCATGGTTTCTCTTACATGCTGTTGTAATATAGTGGCTGGGTTTATTAATGTACAAAGTTCTGTGGGGCAAGGGTAGGCTCACTGGGCATATGTAGAGTCCCTCTGGGCATCCATGTGAGTGATGGTTGCCTGGGGACTTGCATTGTTTTCTCAATACTTGTGGCATAATCTCTCCTGGGTTTCATTTTAGGGTGACCCTGGATCATCTGCTGCAGGAATTAAGGTAACTATAGCCCTGCACATGTGTATGCCATGGGAATCATGGTTTTGACTTTATAAGCCTCCCTTGTCTCTTCAGTTTATCAGCATTGATGGTTACAGCTCTGGTCCAATTCTCTGGCAACAGCTTCCAAAAACAACAGGGAAATCCCAGGCAGACTGAGAAGGAGGGCTTACTTTCTCTTCCACGTTTCCAAGAAATATATGTGTGTGTGTGTGTGTGTGTGTGTGTGTGTGTGTGTGTGTGTGTGTGTG